AGGCCACAGAGGGACACCTCCTTTTGTTGTCCCCTTCCCTCTCCAGGCCCATCCAGACAAGAACAAGTAGGGGAGGATCAGCACCTTCCTGCCAAAGATAGGATTCTTCTTCTAAACATGGACAAAGGTGAGCAGGTTTCCCTGGCTGCCTCCTTTAAGGAGTGACAAGCCGTTCAAATAGATGCAGATCAAATGGCCTGCCATGCAAAAACAGTGATGTAGACCCCTGCATCAGCCAGAAGACTGATTTTAATTCTACATGGAGAAAGGCACCCCTGAAGTCACCAATGCTTCAACATCTTTGCCAATTAAGCATAAATTTTTCTTACCTGTTTGACTGTTTCCATTGGTAGGATCAGCTTCTCCATTTGAGATCTTCCCTTACTGAAAGTTAATTCTCTGTAAGAGGGACCTCTGAAACTCACGGATTGGCAACTAGATCTTCTGCTAACTGCAGCTACTCTTGGGTGAAGCTTCTGCTGCAAAAAGTCTAGTATTTTTCTACAAAGCCAGTCAGACCTTCTGCTCTCTCTCTGAGGTCTGTACAAGTGTGCAATAGGCACGTTGATCCTTGTTGATCCAGGGAGAGTGTCTGAGCCTTGCAGGGCTGCAGGTCCCAGCATGCTGTCCTGGAGCAGTGCAGGCACTTTGCCACTTATACCCTCAACCCCTTCCAACAGCTTTATCAGCTGAGGTGTCTGAAGGAAGGAGGATTAAATCTGCATCTCCATGAGTGGAACTGCCTAGTGAGAGTCTTGTGTGTAAGTCCACAGCACAAGGAAAGCCAGAGGAGGCTAAATGGTGCTCCTTCCGTTTCCTGAGCAAGTTAGATTCCTTCATCTTCAGGAGCTCTGGCAACATTTGCATCATTTTAACAGCCCCAACTGAGGGGGCAAACATGATGAGATTTGTAGTTGGAATCATAGACTGGTTTGGGTTGGAAGGGACGTTGAAGATCATCTGATTCCAATTTTCATGTCACAGGCAGGGACACCTTCCACTAGACCACTAGTTGCTCAAAGCCCCATCCAACCTGATCTTGAACACTCCCAGGGATGGGGCATCTGACTTCTCTGGGCATCGTGTTCCAGAGTCTGCCACTCTGTAAATGGAGGTGCTGTCTGTCACTTTGGCTCTTCTGAGCCACAGTAAGTGGCTAAATCAGCTGTCTCTTGCTGATTCTTTCACCAACTCAGCTCCCCCAGCTATCCCTGACTGCTCAGACAGAGCGGGTGTCATCCGTCAGTACTTTTTGTGGTCAGGCGACTGCTAGTCAGTACTCTTTCGACTATTAGTCCCCTGATACAGAAAAGAGGAAAATTACTTACGCTACAGTAATGGTGGCTCTTCCAGGTACATTTGCAATAGAGGCACCACAAGTCATCTATTGTCCTTCACTCTGAAATGACTCTTTACTGTTGGCAAACCTGAGCGAGGTTAGACTAGAGCATCCTGAGCTTTGTTTGCTCCATTACTACCCTGAGCAGCAGCAACTCCTTGCTGCCTTGGGCTGCATTTGTTCATCCTTCTTCCTAAACCAGAATGCCAGTCTGTGTTTCAGCTTTCCAAACCTCTCACCACACTTCCAACTAGGATATCAACTTTTGCCCACATGTTTTTCTCCTGTGACTTTTCATCAGCCACAACAAACCTTGCCAGCTCAATTCCCATCAGCACCTGACCCCCTGAGATGGGAGCACAGGCTTGGGAGCAGCAGGACTACAGCAACCACAGAAGAGGGAGGTTGCCACTTCCCGAGGCAGCACAGTGATGGCAGTGGTGTCTGTGATTGGCTTTTGCCCCATGGTGTGAGTGAAGAGCAGAGTGGGAGCTGTTGCTGCTGCAGAGCGTGTTGTGGGGTGCGATGGTGTGTGTGGCACTGCTGGGGAGTCCTTAGCCTTACACCACTGCCTGGATGGACATAATGTCTTCAGAGGACTTGATCCTGTCCATGTGAGTACGTGCTCACCTGGGATCTGTGCGGACAGCACTTCTTAAAGAATCACAGTTTTCATAGGGTAAGTAACCACTTTTCTTTTTGTTTCCTAAAGAAATTTTTAAACCCTGGGATGACTGTAATAAATCCTTTTGAGTTACACCATTATTATGACTCTAATGTTTCTAGGATCCTTCCTCTGGTTTAAAACTGATCGATTTCAGGAATTGAAACTAGATTTGCTGTTTTATATAAAAGGCAAAATGACAGATACTGCATTCTCAGTACTGTGTTCTCATTATTGCTCTTTTATTTTGAAAGAAAATAACCATGAAACTTGCTTTCCTTTACTGTGCTTGAACACTCTTATGTATGATATGCAAGTTAGGAGGAGGCTTATTGGTTATATTTGTGTAATGTCTTCATTATCCTTGTAGCTGAGATATCAAATGTTTTAAAAAATTTTCAAGTGCAGCTATTTTCTCAGATTTTTAAATATGATCTGTGAATTTTGAAAAAAGGTTACTTTTTATTATTAAAAAGAATAAATTATTTTATATTTATATTTTATATGATCTATCTTTATTAGGGTTTTGGGGCTTTTTGTTTTCACTCCTTATATGGTAGAAATTCAAATATTGTCTAACCTGGAATTATCTGGGTGTTTGGAAAGTTAGCAAAATTAGTGCCTCACAGATACTGGAAGTTCTGGTAAATTCTAAGAATTCTGACAAATTATGGAAGTCATATTTTGCTACTAGTACCTAAGTGAGCTTTGGGTATGTGCATGTGACAATGCATTTTAGAGTGTGATGCTTCTCCGCTTCATGTGGAGAATAATTTGAGTTTTGTTATTAATTAAAAATTCTTCCTACCTCATCTAATAATTGAGAAGAAGCTTAGAACAATATGACTCTAAGCAGTTACAAGGAGAATCGTACATCTTTGACCAGTATTCTGCCTCAGAGATTTTCTGACACCAAAAGCTTCTGAGAAAGGTGGTCTAAAAATGAGCATTATCGTGGACAACTTTTGTGTATTCTGTGCATAAGGAAAGATCTTTTCTCCAATAGCATATTTATTGCTGCAAAGCATAGGAATTATGTTATTTTATCTTTTCACTTAATCCTGTCAAATGTAGCAAATGTTTTCATTGTTCATACAAACTTATCCCCTTTTATGTGTATGTTGTTAAGCTCTTTACCTACTAATGGTCTTGTAGAAGTTGAGATCCCAGCTAATGTAGGTATAGCAGTGCTCTCATCTGGATCCTCTGCATTGTGATTTTGCTGTATTTGTAAGGTAATAAATAAGAGTACCTGACTGTCCTCCTTCATTCTCTTCAGCATTTTTGCTACATCTGGTGTTTATCTTGCTTATTTATTTGTTCCAATTGCTTTGGTTTCCCGTGATTCAATAGTCTTTCCATGCCTCTAGTGGCCTTTTTCTGAGAGCCTGTGCTTTTTGCTAGAGTAACTTTAGATGTATGGTGAACATTGAGGACTATAAGCATTTAAGAGAAAATGTTAAATGCTGTTGAGAGGGCTTTATAATATTTTAGATAGGATTTCTCAGGGTTTTTTATTGTGTTTTTTTTCCCTGAATAGGAAATAGTCCGTAAATACAAATAGTGTAATTGTATTGTGTTCTCCATGAGAACTTAGTGCATTACATTTATGTGGCTGTCTTAAATATTGTCTCCTTATTGTGAACTACATTAGCAGAAACATCTGGGGAATTAAGCTCTTCCTTTCTGCTGTGATAGTGGAAGGTGTTGAGATAGGCACTGCAGGGTAACTGATTTATAAGGGTCTTACTGAGAGAGGGGGGTCAGCATTTTCTCCCTTAAACAAGGTGATTTGGGGACTCCCAAAAGAGGAGGTGAGGGTTGTGCTTATTAGTTGAAAACAGAACTTCCACTTTTTCGTTGGGTACTGGAGCTGTTTCTACCTCTTGCCTGTGTGTGCAAAGCCCTGGATAAATGCTCCTTGGCTCTCAGAGAGCTTCAGTCGGCCGCTCTGAAGCCCTTTTGACATTAATAGGTGTTCAAGGACACCTGTTTGCTCATGTTCATTCTTACCAACAGAGGAGGCTGGGGCTGTGCAAAGCTGAACTTGGTATCAAAAGGAAGAATGCTTTCTGGGATGAATGGGAAGCAAGAAGGGAAAATGGCTTGTCTGTGGGGAAATGTTACATTACTCTGGGGCTCCTGCCAAATAACTTCAGCCTGCTATGCCACGTGGGGTATGTGCACTGTATAGGGCTTCGCCCTTATATATCTGGAAGAGCTGGACAGGATAAACCTCCCCATTACAATGAGGCACTGAACATGTATACCTGTGTCATTCAGGAGGCCTTCTAGGAAGAAAAGGAAGACCAGCTGCAAATTTACAAAATTATGGTGGCAGGGAAAAGGGAGATGTAAGGGAAATTCCAGAAAAGCCCTCTTGGTTTGCTCAGGCATACCTAGACTTGCCCTCTCTGGGGATTTACCTGTAGCATGTACATCATTAAGAGGTTTTATTATTATTTTTTAAATTAATTTTATTTTCCTTTGCAGGTCACATTTTAAGCTGCTATTTCCTGTATAATTAAGCAGAATGAAGGCATTAGGTTCTAGTAAAGTTGGGCCTAATCCAGAATCTTCTCTTACTCAGTCCTTTCTGAGTAAGAAACTCAAATCTGGGCCCAGCATTTTATGGTTTTTGCTGTTACTTCTAAATTATTTGTGGTCTGTGGATTATTTTTGTTTTGTTTTAACTTCATGACAACAACTCCTTTGCTTTTGTCTAATTTTATCTCTTTATGTGTCACTGTCCAGCATAGCGTTAGTTGAAATGATGTAAGTATACTGCAAATTGAAGTGCATAATTGCTACTGATAACGCGAGAATGATTCCTACAGTTTATAATTAACAGTATATAATGTTCTGTGCATGGGTTGGATCTATCCCTTTTAACTTTTCCTTTCTGATTCCTTCCAATTCCTGGTCTTGTCACATCCCAGCCTTTATGAACATACTGGTTTCGCTGGAGTCTAGTCCATTCTTCCTTTTGTTTTTCAGACCAGTAAAAATGGGAAGTACTGGATTCTGGTTTCCTCCAAGAAGAGTCAGCGGAACTGGTTAAGAGCAAAATCTGAGGACTTTAGTGGGCAAACATCAGGTGTGCATTGAACAGAGGCTGCTTTAATCCTTCTTTAAGTATATGCTTATTTAAAAATAGTATTATATATGAGCTTTTGTGTAATGTGTTTGTTATTTGATACTGCATATAATCATTCATCCTGCAGTTGTGAAAGCACCAGTAAGAATGGGGATTTTAAGTGATAATATGTTGAGGCACAAACAGGCAATATTACTCATAAAATTCTTTCAGCTGGTCTTTGAAAAATTTAATATTTGAGGATCAGTGTTTTTTAAAGTTTTATCTCCATTGCTCAGTCTGTATATCCACACCAAAAAAAATGGTTATTTGCTATTCAGAGATCAATACTAAAGTTTTTAATTGCTTCAACTGTTGAGAAATGGTACTGAGATAATAGTGCATACGTGGTTTTTAATAAAACACTGTCATTGTCAAAGATTGGATCCACACTATATTTGTTCTAATGATGCATTTTTAAGGACACTTATACACAGTTCAAAGTCAGCTTAATTAATTTTGATCATAGAGGAACAAAACCCAAATTCTTCATCCCTGTGAATGTTCTGACTTACTTCTGGTACAGCAGCTAGGTTACCTGAAGTTTTGGAGAAGAAAACAAAATGTTATATTGGCCTGAATATAGGATGGCTTCCAGCCTTAGGTGTGATCTTTGCATTGAGAAAAGAAGTGAGAAGTTGTCAGTTGTTAATTTTAAGAGTTAAGCTTAATATGCTGTTCCACAACAAACACTGCTTTTGACCTCACAACAGACCCTGCAGATCACCCTTCTGCGTGGCCTAATATCCTGCATCTCCCCAGCTTGATGCACGTTAAATTCCTCCTTACCAGCCCTCAGCATTACCAGCTTACCCCTATCCACATGTCCTTAGATATTTCCAACCCCTGTGCAGGATTCCCTGTGCCTCCCTAGCCCCACAGCCCCATCCTGGTTCTGACCACTGTCCCTCCCTGCAGCAGCTCATCCTCCCTGCCTGTATCTTGCCTGCTGTGCCTGCTTCCCTTTTCACTGGCTGGGCACAGAGTCCACTTGCTGCTGAGTTCTGGATCCGGCATGGTCAAAGTAGCCACGCTCCCCTGCTGCTGCAGGGGAGGCAGTTGCCTTGCCTGTGGAGGCAGTTGCCTTGCCCTTTGACGCAAATGCTGACTGCCCTGTCTCAGGCTCAGTGTGGATTTGGCAGGGAGGCAAAAGGAGCCAGAGTACCTTCTTAACCCTCTTGAGGCTATAAGTGCCCTAGCTATGCAGTGAGGGCATGGCTGCTGTGCTGGCTCTGTGTGGTGGGTCTCATACAGGTGCCTGCGTGGTATAAAAAAAAGCCTGTGTGAGTGGAGATCGAGTTGAATTTTTTTCTCCCTCCTGAATTTCATAGGTCAGGAGAGATTAGGCTAAAACAAAATTTCATTCTACATTCAGGCCAATGTGTGTTAAAGACTAGTGTGTTTGTTAACAGAAAAGCAAAATTAATTTTATTACCGGATTCTAATTAAAGCTTATATTGAAAAAAAAGTATCTTTCAGTCCACAAATATATCACAACTTTGATGTGAATCAGAACCTCCTTTTGATTACATTGGTGGCTTTATTGAAGTATTTAGCAACTGATCTTCATTTATTTTTATTGAAGAAAATTATTGCTGCCAAATCTCCAAACAACTGTTTCACTTTTTCAGTTATGAACTAGATAGTTGATTATGAGACAGAAAATAAAATTAAGCTGATACTTTGAAGACCTGTGCATGTTCCCACTCATGGAACTGATGTCTCCAGACTTCATCCCACGAGTGGGAATGGGTCCGAGACAAGTCTGAAATCATAAAAGTCCCTAAAGAAACACCTTTTCTGTCACTGGGTATCTTTAAAGAGGTTAGTGTTTCCTTATAAAATTTGAGGGATTAAAGGTGGTTTTACAAAACTACTTACTTAAACAAGGTAGCATAGTTTAACCTGTCATTCAAGGACTTCAGGGTTGAAAGGAAGCAGATTTTCATTTTGGTGTGCCAGTACTTCTGTCCTCTTCTAAAGACAAGGGAAAAGTTAAGTGAGGTGGGAAGAAAAGGCATAGATAAAGACATAGTCTGTGTACACATTTCCAGTAGAGATCTCAGTCTGAAGATTTCATAAAATGCAGACATTAAAGAGGCACATCCCTTTCTCCCTCTCCCTGCTCCTTCAGCCTTCCTGTCCTGGCATGCACTGAGGAAAACACAAGCTTTCCTTCCTTCTCGCTTTCTTCCAGGACCACGCTGGGGCTCTTGCAACGACTCTGTAATTTTGCCCCTGTGCAACTGGGCGCTGCTCTCCACTCCCCTCTTGAGCAGTTGACTCCCTCCATCTCTGCTGAGCCTCAGCAATGGAGAGAGGACAGCTAAGCCAGGCCCAGGCTCCCTCCCAGCTATCCATCCTCCCTTGCTGCCAGCAGGGAAGAGCCCGGTTTGTTTTTCAGGGAGGTGGCGCTGGGCTGGAGCAGCTGCAGCCTGATGGTGCCTGCCCAGCTCCCAGCTGCCCAGCTCCACCTGTCCCAGCAGCTGCGGCTTCCCCAGCCCTGCTGCTGGGGGCTGTGGCGGTGCCTGGCTGCCGAGCCCTGGCCCGGCTGCGGCCTGGCCCTGGTGCCGCCCAGCCCGGCCGCTTCTCGCGCAGCTGCCCCGGCAGAGACCAGAGTGGACAGCAGCTGCCAGCCCTGACACCAGGGCCAGGGGGTGGGTGGTGGCGCTTTTGAGGGAGAGTGGCCAAATTTTGGGGCTTTCCAACCCTGCCAAACGCTTGCGTTGAGTGCTGTCCTCCTGCTGTCCTCCTTGCCCCTGCTGCTGCAGACCTTGCGCTCCACCCTTACCACAACTGGTAGCACTGGGGTTTGGTATCTGTAGTAGCAGTTGTGCTCCGATGATGAGGAAAAGCTGTCAGCCACCGCTGACAAAGGAGGGCTGTTGAGTGCCCTGTGATGGCAGGTGCCCAGTTGCCACTATATGATACCAGATGATGAATTTAAAGCTGTTTACCCGCAAGTCAGACACGAAGGTCACGTCATGCACCTCCTGATACTGAAAACCTCTGATTTAGTTCACAGTTTGCCATGCCACAGGGGCAGGACTAGGTGCTTCCATCCCGAGCTGGCCTGAGTCAGAACATTTAGAGCCCTCATGTCTCGCAGGATAGCATGAAGAGGTTGGGGGTCTCCAGTGCTGGCTGATAATCTATCTCTAACCCATGGGATTTCTGTTGTCAATACATCAAGTCTGTTTGCAGAGGGCAAGTTAACAGGAGCATTTCACCTGGCATTAGCCATCACTGGCAATGCGTGCGTTTTGCTAGAGTGGGTGCATAGATGTCAGTGATCACAGGGGGGAGGTACGCCTGAGGGAGAACACAAGCTTTGTCCCCCATACTGTCAGCATGGGTACTGCTGTGTTTTGTGCAGGTTTTCAAATATTTTGAGGCTTACAGATTTTCACTTTGATAGCTGCGTGCATGGGTGTGTGCCTGCGTGCGGATGTCTGTATAAACACCACAGGCGCGGCTGTTATTCCTTTGAAATCCGAAGCTGCCAAAAGGTGCCTGGGTAGGTAGGTTCTTTGCCTCATGCCTCCCTTAATCTGACAGAAACTTTGCTGTTCTCCATCAGTGTTTGAGGGAGAGGTGAGGTGTGATTTCAGGGCATATGTGGATCTGTTCATCCTGAGCAATGCGTTTTAAGAGTTGCAGCAAATAGTGTAAAGAAACCTGCAGGTATTACGTTAGACCAGCTGAACCTAATTTTATTTTTAAGTTTTATTCAGAAGCATCACATAGCAAGTAAACTTCAAAATCTAAGTTTAGTTACAAACTAGTTGTTTCTTATTTTTTTTTTCCAGTCCCCTTTTGCTTTCTTTTACGACCACATGAAACTTGAGAAGCCATCTAAAGCTAAATCATTTAGTGGAGTTGGGCAATTCCCAAGTGTCCAACAAGAAGGCCTGGTTTAGGCTGCGATGGCCACTGTCATTCCTGGTGATTTGTCAGAAGTAAGAGATACCCAGAAAGTCCCTTCAGGGAAACGTAAGCGTGGTGAAACCAAACCAAGAAAAAACTTTCCTTGCCAACTGTGTGACAAGGCCTTTAACAGTGTTGAGAAATTAAAGGTTCACTCATACTCTCACACAGGAGAGAGGCCCTACAAGTGCACACAACAAGACTGCACCAAGGCCTTTGTTTCTAAGTACAAATTACTAAGGTATTAAACTCTATTTATCTTTCAGATTATATTATCTATTTTATGTTGGCCGTGTTAAGCCGTGTAAAAGTATATATTTCTGTACGCCTTCAGCTGATTGCAGAGAGGATGTGTTAATTAAAGTAGCCATTGGATTGTTTCTAGAATTCTAAATTACCTAAGTTTGCAAGCTAATGTCTTTGATTTTGTTTCTTAATTTGTTTTCTGCTTTTGTTTTCTGTTTGTTTTTGTTTTGTTTTGTTTTTAATGAGCGTAGAATTTTCCTTTGTGTAAGGAATTGTCACAAGAAAAAGAGTATGGACTGAAAGTTCTTTGGCTATGGACTTTTACACGAGTACTTTCATACTTGCCCATATACCCCTGTTACAGTAGCTAAAACCCACCAAAACTAAAGTGTCAATTTAAGAGAAATGGCTCGCGTTTTGCTATATTTAAATTTGTCGAAATGTCTTTGTAGTGTCATGCTTTCAGTTAAAAGGTTCTGTTGCAAAGCAGTCCTTAGTGTAGTATTTAGCTGCCATTAAAAAATGAGCACGTGTTTTTTGATCAAAATAATTACTTACAGAATATATCTGTGTTTAAAGGCATATGGCTACTCATTCTCCTGAGAAAACCCACAAGTGTAATTATTGTGAGAAAATGTTTCACCGAAAAGATCACCTAAAGAATCACCTACATACACACAATCCCAACAAAGAGGCCTTTAAGTGTGAAGAATGTGGAAAGAACTACAATACCAAGCTTGGGTTCAAACGTCACCTGGCTTTGCATGCTGCAACAAGTGGTGACCTCACCTGTAAGGTATGTTTGCAGACTTTTGAAAGCACAGGAGTGCTGCTGGAGCACCTAAAAACTCATGCAGGCAAGTCATCGGGTGGAGTGAAGGAGAAAAAACACCAGTGTGAACACTGTGATCGTCGGTTCTACACCCGAAAGGATGTCCGCAGACACATGGTAGTGCACACTGGAAGAAAGGACTTCCTCTGTCAATACTGTGCACAGAGATTTGGGCGGAAGGATCACCTCACACGCCACATGAAGAAAAGTCACAACCAAGAACTTCTGAAGGTCAAAACAGAGCCAATGGACCTTCTAGATCCCTTTACCTGCAATGTTTCTGTGCCTATTAAGGATGAGCTGCTTCCAGTGATGTCTTTACCTTCCAGTGAACTGACATCAAAGCCATTTACAAACACTTTGCAATTAAATCTCTACAACACTCAGATTCAGTCCATGCAGAGTTCTGCATCTGCACACCAAATGGTTGCCACATCGTTACCATTGGGAATGCCTTGTCCAATAGATATGGAGTCTGTCCACCCTTCTCACCAGCTATCATTGAAATATCCGCTCGGTACTACCTCATACGCAATTTCTATGCCTGAAAAAGAACAGCCATTGAAAGGGGAAATTGAAAGTTACTTAATGGAGTTGCAAAGTGGTATGCCTTCTTCATCCCAGGATTCTCAAGCATCTTCATCAAAACTAGGGCTGGATCCACAAGTAGGGCCACTAGATGATGGGTCTGGGGAAGTTTCCCTTTCCAAGGGCTCTGTTCCTATTAGTGAACCTCTAAACGCCCCATCATTGGACTTTTCTCAGCTGTTCAACTTCATACCTGTAAATGGCCCTCCCTATACTCCTTCTGTTTCAGTGGGAAACCTCGGAATGAGTTATACGCAAGAAGAGGCACATTCTTCTATGACTCAACTTCCACCACAAACCCAGGATCCACAAGATCCTAGCAATAGTATAGGTCTTGGGTCTCTGCACTCATTATCAGCAGCTTTCACAAGCAGTCTAAGCACAACCACCACCCTACCACGATTTCATCAAGCTTTCCAATAGGATGTACAAAGCTGGCTTGTTACTGTCTATTTGTAGAAATGCCTTAGGTGACCATTTTTAACTTAGTGCCTACTATAAGACATTATAAATTCTCTGCTTTTGTACAGTACCAATCTCATGAAGCCAGTAAGAAATTTAAATTAACTTTTTTAAAATGTTTTGAAAGTGTTTATTCTCAGCTGTGTTTACTTTGGTTTTTGTTTTGGTTTTTTTTTTTTAAACAGTCTCATTGTATTGTTTTCATATTCACTGCCAATTTACACATTTAAAATGTTCAGCAGAAAGTCATCCCAAGCAAACTCTCAACACTCATCCCTTTTTTTAGAAGTTTTTTAACCATACCAGTTATTCCATTTTGTTGATGTCAGTGGTAGAACTGCCACGTTTAACTTTTAATATATTTTACTATTTGCAAATAATCCAGTTAAAATATGTATCACAAATATTCCTGAAGATTTGGGAAAAAAAATCTCCAGTCCATTTCCAAACAAATCCTCTTCCCAAATGGTGACACATCTGACCTGTTCTATAATGACAAATCTAAATTTTTTAAATAAATATAGAATTCAGATTTTTCTGAAAACTTGTGTGTGTATATATAGAAGTCCATATATACACATGTACATTTATACAGCATTTTGACTTGTATTGAAGTCATTATAAAAGTTGTTAAGAATTTTGCCATTTTCTGGCTTAAATTTTTGTGGCCTGTTATGGATAACAGAAAAAAAAATTACTTCTCTAAAATTATGGCTGAATAGAATTTCAACAGAGAATCTCTGCTTGCCTAGTTGACAAATGTTTCAAGTTGAATTTGGAACTGTGTTGTTGTGCTTTTATGACTCTGGTATAGGGAAACAGGCAAAATTAATGGCTGATCTTGAAATATAAAAGTGTTGTAATGTAGTAATGCAGAATATTTTGTCGCAGTTTTTGTTTTAATTCTTAACTTGCTGATTTTTCTCTTTAGTAGCATAGAAAGAGTACTGCATAGGAATCTTCCAGTAGTGTATTCACATTGTAGGCATCAGTCTTCTCCCAGCTGCCACCACCAAAGGGTGGATCAAGTCCAGCCAGAAAGTGTGTATCTATTTTCAGTTCAAAAACTAGTGTGCAGTCAGAGAGTGAATGTAAATTTGCAACTACCAGGTTTTTGTTTTGGATTTTTTTTTTATCGGAATGATCTTTTCAGTTGTGTTACATGGTGTGTTATGTCCTCCTAAGCAACAAGTTAGATGTTAATCACACTTTCTACACCTGGGTACTTGGTTAGGGACTTTTTGCCCGTTGCCAAGATTTAAAGACAGGACTCTTAGGAGTGAAGTAAAAGCATATTGCTTACACCACTTTTACCTAATGCAATATATTCTATTCCCCAACCCCTAATAACCAAAAGAGGAAAAAAAAAAACCTAAAAAAACAACCAACCCTGTGATGCATAAGAGCAAACTAGATTTGCTGTAATTCAACAATAACATTATTTTCCTTGTCATTTTTGTACAAGGAATTAAAAAATAGAAATCAAGTACATTAGTATCTCTCAAACAATAATGAGGATTCGTACAAGGTTTTAAGTGGTTAAACTAAATATACTTCACAGAAACAAAAGTTGCTCCCATTTAAGGAGCTCATGCTCCGGATGTTTTATCAGTAGCTCCTACTGTTTTTTTTTAATTCTAGGAGCAATATGCAGGTGTAGTTTTACTATTTTATACATATGTGTATTTAAATTTTATTACTGAAAGATAACATTTTTATAAATGTGTTTGTGTTCCAAAGGCATTAAAATAAGGATGTATTAATAAGGAAAATACCTTTTGAAATTCTGCAAACTACTCCTAGATTTTGGGGTTAGGAGCATGTTATCTCAAAGTGGGCTTTTAGCTCTGCTTCACAACTGCTTCTTCTGGTTTCTGTGAAACAGATTGCTCACTTACTTACATCTTTAGTTGAATGATTTGTTCAATATTGCTTTTTTTCCCTTCACTTTTCTAACGGAAAGAAAAAAAACATGAACAGAGCACAAAGTGAATGCAACCGAATGTAACTTTAGTCTAAATGAGCAACTATAATGCATCTAGAAAAAACTTGGGTTTATTCTCAATCTTTTTAATCAATCTGAGATGAAGATAAATGGACTTAATTCCCCCAGTGGGTTATGTCCCGTGTGGAGCCAAGCATCTGCAACTCTCCCTGCAGTAGAGGAAAGCTGCAAGTGCTTGTCATCCTGCAGCTGGCCCAGCAGTGCAACCAGGCAGCACTGCCCATCCTGGGTAGCCTCTGGCTCACAAATTTCCAATCTGTAGCCACTGTTTATCAGTCTCAGTTGCCAAAAGACTTCATTAGAAAACAAAACCCAACAGACACTTTGCCAACACCTGTTTCTTACTGTGTAGCCAGAACCCTTACTACTTCTTCATTTGTGCCTTAGCTTCCTGAAAAGGGATTGACATTTCCCTTTGGAGTTAGATGTACATTTCACTTGAGAAATAGGGACCTCAGACAAGATATTGAACCTCATTCAGTCAGGGTTTCAGTGGGTGGATGCACCCGGCATGTTTGCAGCTGAACTAGGATGTAGGGTAATGTGGAAGCAGACTGACCCTGTAAGCAATACCACCGCCACCGAGTGCTTTTGAGCATCACTTAGGCAGAGTCAATATTGGCCACTACTAAACCATCAGTTTTTAAACTCTGGTTTTTTTATTTCAGATGGATTCTTGGTGGGAGGGGGGAGGGCTGGCTGATCATGCACCACTCTTTGTGCAACTTCTAAACTTCTAGTAAGGTTGTTTTGGTTTTGGTTTTTGTTGTTTTTTTTTTTTTTTTTTTAAATATATATATTTTTGTGTACTTGTTGCTTGTGCTTTATTTAGTAGTAAATTGTGGAATAGAGTGATTTATTGTTAATTTGGCAGTAGCGGTTTTTAAAAACCATATACTGACTGAAACATGAGCCAGAGCTGATTGCTTTATTAAGCTAATAATGAATGTTAAGAGTACATATTTTCAGGATCATTTGCCTAGTGAGCTAAACTTGTATTATAGGCCAATATTTTTTAAAATAAAGCTTGGTCAACCTCTATGTTACACATATTACAAGATATAGCACTTTCAAAAAGAAAACCTAAACCTTTTAAGAAAATTTCTTACAGGTTATGCTTTTTATTATAAAACCTTTTATTATAATTTGTTTCAAGTGCCATTAGATTACATATATGTAGGCCTTTGGTATAATGCTTTGTGTACAAAATGGTAGACATTGTAATTTTAAACAGGTACATTTTTACAGTGTTTTCTTATCAATTTGCTATATTGCACAGAACCAGTGTGTCTTTCTTAAGGGTTTTACAATGGTTTTTACTAGGTTTACATGTTTCAAACTACACTGTCTTCTACTGCCATTTTGAATACCAGTCAAAAACAAATAGGAGTTTGTCCTCTCCGTTTGCAAACTGTGTCCTCTGGAGTTCTGGATGGTAAACTATGTCAAAAATGTTTAACATGCAGTATTTGATACAGATTTTTTTTATCATATCCTATCATTGCTATGCTGCTGTCTGAAGTTAACTTAGGGCCTGATCCTGCATCCGTAAACGTCAAGGGCAGCAGGATTGCATCCTTTGTTATGTCTGTCTCATACACTGGTTTAGCAGCTTCTCCTGTATTCTTCTCAGTCTATAGATAAGCCTCTGAAATATATGTACTTCTCTGGTATGTAGTAAACCTTATAGGCTTAGCTGCCCATCCTGCATCCTCCCAGTGTACAGTTAAAACCACAGCTTACTTAGCATCATGCTCAACTTACAAGTAATGCCACAGTAGTTCAAAATGTGTTTGGGTAGTCCCAAAGCTTTTATGCAATAAGGGTGTCTTACTTTTGTTGGAAGGCAGTGTCTTTTGATAACAGTTATCTAGCCCTGGAAGTGACACAGAACTATTGCTAATCATATGTAAACACTTTTCAGTATAAGCTTCAGTGGTACAGTTGAACCAGAGTGAATGTTTATCTCCTCAGAAACACTCCTGCAATATTGTTATATTGGATCATGCTGCTAATGTAACTTGGGATACAACTCCTCTCATGGTGCTACAAACCTCCCTGTCTCATTCAGATGTATTTTTACCCATAGAAAAAGAGGACTATACTAGACCTATAGTTGTATGATATATTTTTATACTGTGACTTAATTTGTCATTAATGAACTTTGTGCAACACCACAATGTATTCATATGCACTTGCAAAAGTAAAATTTTGGACATGCAAATTTAAACGCTGACAAGCCTAGCTCTTTTTCACAAAAATAGGTGACTGCTAGTTAATGTTAAATGCGGGCTTTTTATATGGTGTGGAGTGAAGAACATACTATATATTATTAAAAGCCTTTGGTTTTAGACAAAAACTGGGAAAAGTATATTGGGGAATGATGACACACCCTAACCTGAGTCAGATTGCTGAAATTATATTTTTAGCTAGGGGAAAAATTGTTTGGACTTGTTTGCTAAAATGTTTTTAATGATAAAAATTTTGAGTCAAAAAATAGAGAAAAAAAAAAAGAACACAGAAAACCCTGCATTCCAGACTGAATTTGTATATGTTTCTTGCATTTAAAATTTGCTATCCTGTGATATGGGAAATTGAGTTGCTTATCATGTATATGTACTTTAAAATGTATTCACAAACTACTGTTGTATTTGTATAAAATATAGACAAAAAGATTGCATATATATTTTTGTGTATAAGCTCTGTAAAATAGCAATCACATTATGAAGCTGCAGCAGAACTTCATTTTAAACACTCACATCCAAAGAAACAGACTATTTATTGTCCACATACCCTGATTATAAAATATACCTTGCTGCTATTAAACAATAGTGCTGCAGCTTCTTGTGGCCTACAGTGTTATGTTTGCTGTACAAAAATATGTGAACTCCACAAAATATATCAATAAAATTACAGAATGGTTTTAGTTAATGAATAACTTATGCCTGGCATTTCAATAGTTAATCTTGATCTGCGTGTTTGGGATTACAGTAAGTAATTACAGAATACATCCAGTTTTGCTGGGTGTAGCTATTCTGAGTTTGCAAAGCGGAACTGTCTTTCCAATTTATGACTGGTAAAATGTCAGTTTTTCAGAAAATATTAAAGCACAAATATCCGTGTTTCATGATTTCACCAAGGAACAAATGGGATGATGCTACTGTGTCTGTGACAAGACAGATCTGAACTGAAGGAAGCAATTGAACTTGCCATCAAATTACACTTTGAAATGCTGTGAGACACTGGAAGGTGAGTGTGGGATTTCTGTAGTGGGACCACTCATTTGGGAGACATAGGTGAGTGATTGTCTTATTGTTTCAGATTAATCCAAATCATTTACATCGATTGTTATGGTTTACAGGACAGACTTTAAGGATGTGGCATGTGCTAAGCATGCCAGAGGGTTTCTCTCTGCAATATTTCCAGGAGAAACTCCCTTGCTTTGATCCCATAGTTCTCCCATCTGCCCATGACAGTGCCGAAGAAGTCAGACTGTAATGCGTGGGGGAAGAGGTGCCTCGCAGCCAGACAAGCAGCCTGCACACAACTGCAGAAAGTTGCCTCTCTGCTCATTCCGTGCCGTTGTTCCCTAGCGTAGACTGTCTGACAGGAAAGTAAAAGACTAGCATTTCACATTTCATTGCTTTTTGGAACATATTTTGTTAACATCTTCAGCCTTGTCTGTGTTTCCCTGCTTTTGAGTTCCCCTCTTTTTTAAGTCTTGACTTTTTAGATTTGTTGCTGTAACCCAGTATGAGAGAAATGATTGTAGAGAGAGTTGTTGGCTTTTACCTTCTCCATATGCAGACGTCTTTCCTTTCTTGTAATCCCTACCTACCCCTTTCCTCTGAGCTGACTTATTACTTCTGTACCACAGGTTTCTAACTTGTTTGAGAGGGTTGGCCTTGTTATATTGAGGGTCAAGAGCTCTACAGATGCTCTGCGTTAATAAATGCTCTGCAAAACCATTTATAGCCACCCACAAACACACACACCCTCGCCCACAACCCCTCGAGAGAAAACCATCCCATCATAGCTGGTCTCACCCACCGTTACTATTTAACCTGTCCTCCTTCCAAATGGACAGCCTCTGGAAACCCTCTAGAAACTCTGTCAGCCCCTGTAGTAAGTGGAATGTGATTGCACAGATGATATCTGTGTTATCCAGAGATCTCTTGCTGCAGTCTTTCCAGAGTTTCTTTGTTAAATTCAGAGCCACAGGCATCTTCCCTTCTTTCTTTTGTGTAACCTCCCCTTTCCAAAACTCGCATAAGAAAGTACAGAACAATGGTCCTTCAGTATCCTCTATACCTGTCTCACAGTCCTTCAGGAGTGGAAGAGTAAGACTATGCTAGTTTTCCCCTTCACTCTCCCTCACTTTTCATGCCTTCTTTTCCTTCCCACAGATAAGCATGCCCTAGGATAAAGACTGTTTCTTGACAGAGAAATCCAAAACTGTGACGCAGAGCTACTGCTGAACTAGCAAGAACTAAGCAGCTACATGCTGTTGGCTTCCCCGCTTTTCAAATCAAAACATTGTATTAAATCGGATAGAAAGTAAGTTTTACAAAGTGGCAGCTGCCGTAGTTGGCACAGCAAGGGTTGGTGATCACAAACAGGCAGCAAGTAGCACAGCAAGATAAACTCTATTGCAAAATTTTGTCTGAATTAATAGTTTGAGAAGTGTATTGGAAGATTAACTGCTGCGTGAGATTTCAAGTTCCTGCTTATGTGCTATGTCCCAGGTAATTCAGTATAAACTTTCTCCACTCCTAATAAAGGTGTAACATTTTGCCTGGTATTTTTATCTTTATATAATTCTGTTTATTTGTTGTAATGACCTGTGTGTCCTTAGGAAATTAACATTTTCAGAGGAGTAAGTATTTGTAAAAAATACAATGAGCAGTTCTTCAGTGTCATCATTGCACAACCTTGTCTTGTTCAGATATACTTGTATCATAAACCCATCAGCTATAAAGCTAGTTTGCCTCAGATAGAGCTGAAGAGACATCAGCTATTGGCTGAGCAGTCTGAAAACATGACTATGGTAATGCAGTCTATGGCTGAGCTGGAAATCATTTGAATTGATCCCTTGATAGTTTACCCGTGGGACTGATTCTTACTGTTGCACCGAAGTGCAATGTAAAAAGAAGAATGACTTAGTGTGATTTTCATATAAATCAGTCAGATCGCTGCTTGATGTGTGTTAAGTAACACAGAGAACCTGAATAGTCATAGCCTCTCAAAATCAGTACGCTGCTTCAACTTTTGTGTATGTATGTGTGTGTGTGTATATATATATCTACATTTGTGTGTACATGTGGATATGTATGAATGTATGCATGGGAAAGTATCAATGTAAGATGAAAAACTTGATAAATTATTTTGTTTTGGCTTACTTCAAAATGTTTTAAGTGTTTGTGTTTTACAAGTCCAAAGTGAATCCTGCTGTTTGTTAAAGTATCCCCTAGTTAACACAGTGTGTGGTTTCCCATGCAAGCTGGAAGAGTTTCTTCCAAATACTTGATTAATCTATGAGAGACAGCAATTTATCTAAGGGGTGCACAGACTCCCACGAGAAAGGTGTTTGTCAGCTGTCCTTGTGTAGTACTAGATACAATTTCAGCAGAAAAGTTCTGTAGGCTGTGCCTCTGAAATTAAACTCAACTGGCTTACTGGCTTTTATATTAAACTGTTTCACACATGGTCATGGGTAGATCCTTAAGTTCCCTCACAAGTACTTACATTGAAAATAAAAATACAGGCTCTGTATGATTAAGGGGCATGCCATAAGTGAGCAATGTCTGAGATGTAACATAGGAATATCAAATATCAAACATTCATGACAAATAAATACAGACTAAACTCGCAAACTTTCTGAAGTCTGTCCTCACCTGAAAATTGTCTCCTCTTATTTCGTCACTGTCTGGCTCCTTATGCCAATAAAGTATTACAGGGTTGTCCCATAGTTTAATGTGCTCTCTTCTCTTCAGTTTAGGCGTATTTTTCTTCAGTATTTTTACAAGAAGCTTCTGCTTACTCACTGATGAAAATTTATGAATTGCAACAATGTACTTGAACTGTATAACCCATTTTAATCAGTCAGGTTTAAAACCCTTTAACTTACAGCAGCCTCTGAGAATTTGCTATGGCCCACCAGAGTAGCCAGGCCATCATTTCAGAGCCACCAAATTTGGCTGATCCTCTTGCCCTTTCCCCTCTACAACTCTGCAAAGAGGTGGTATTTGCAGGAAACCACGACATTTGCTATGGCAGTGTATTTAATATACAGTCACAGGGCTGGGCATGATCTGTGTTAATGGGATTGTGCAAGCTACTGGGAGAGACTGACCCCTTTATGCATCAGTCCTAGGCATCAGCATTAGATCTATGTACCTGGGAAGGCAGCAGCCTCCCAGCACTAGACTAGCACTAACATTACCTCCTTGGGCCCTTTGCTGTATGTGATTAATTTTTCTCATTAAGCACTGAAGCTGTTTTGTAGTCCTTAAGCTACAAGTCCCATATTCCACTACTATATTTGGCATCTCCCTGTGACCCAGCAAAGTCAGCTTTGCTCCAAGGGGCAAGACTGCAAAACCCATCTTGGACCATTTGGCTGAAAATACTGAAATTGCCTGCCACATGACAACAGTCAACTTGCCAGCATAGGTGTCTGTCTTTGCATGGCCAGAAAATATTGCTGTGGGTGACAGCCTGTATGTCACATTTCATTGTCTGTATCCCTAAGTTTAGATTCTCTTAGCTTCTTGCAAGGTACTCTTTTGAAACTGTGATATTAATCTACAGCAGCAGATCCCAGATTGTTATCCCTGATCCACTTTGGTCACTGAGGCCCCAGTAAATTATCTGTGAAACCTCACCTGCCTTGCCAGTGTCTCCAGTTAAAACCTCAGTGTGTTCAGGTAAGGAGAGCCTTTGCTTCATGTTCTTGAATGCATGGAGTAACCTTTCTGTGAAGGAAAAAAAGCATCAAGCAGCTGTTTGGCAATGTGTGTTTGAAACTTGATCTTATTATTTATAAACTAGGGTTTAACCTTTTAAAATATTTATTATTATTATGTCTCAGCAGTATAATAACATCACAGCTCTTGCAGATGTGTTTTTTCTTTGCATTTGGGTTTACTTCTCACTGCTTTAAGGAAAACCTGCTTATATTTGCTGTTCCAAGGTGTCATTTGTCTCACCAAAACAGCCAAACTCTGAAACATGAACTCAATTCTTTTCTGGTTTGTGTTTTTAGTGTTTAAAAAAAAAAAAAAAACAAAAAAAAAGTGGTTAATCAGTGGCCTATCTTCAGAGAAAGCCTTGTAGGGACTGGTTTCAGATAATGGTATCACTTACACCTGTGCAATTGATAATATCAGAACTCCTTTCAGGCAACTCTGAATATCGTTTGAGATCTATGAGTTGTGACTGGAAGCAGCGCTTGGACCATGAAACACTGTGTGTGTAAGGAGATTGTACGTTCATCATCAAATCCCAAACTGAGGTCACAGGGAGTGACAGTAAATGGAGGAAAAAGAAAACTTTTATTTGAAACAGAGAAGAAAACCTCTCAGAAGTCATGAAGGCACAGGCAAAGGAACTGTCTTGCTTTGAGTAGGACTGTAATTTAAGTCCTGAGGAGCTACATTTGTCTCCTTTAGCAAGATTACAAAGTACCTTATTAGAAACACAGTGTATTGTAAAGCAGTTCTTAGGAGCCTCTGGACGGCCAAGCCTTCATGGGTTTGTTATATGGTACACCAACCAAATGTACAAAAAAATAAAGTAATGATTATGGAGAAGGATATATACTCCTGAACTCTCTGAAAACAGTTCCAATTCCCAGTTCTGTCCTTCACCTGTTTTAGACAAAACTTTGGCTGTTAACCACAAGAGTAATGCACCTCGATCAAAATGAAACTCTGGTTTTTGGTATGTGTCCTGTGTTACATCCATATCAGCCCTTTAAAAAGAGCCCTTGGTATTGGGCCTGACTTCTCCTGTCCAATGACCGGACAAACAGTAGTAGTAACTAACGACAGCAAACAAAGAGTTTCTATATTCCTGATAAACAAGTGAAATATAAATGGAGGAACTGAGCGAGACTGATTCTGTATACCTTCTCAGCCAGAAGCACAGATTAGGCTGGGCAGCTATTGCAGCACTGGATGCACAGGTATGTTTTACTTGCAGAAATACACAAGCTTGGAACAAAATCATCGCTGCTGCACGTTATTGTAGTTGTGACATATTGCAGCCCATGGGACACAGACTGTGTGTTTCCCTCTTGTCACTTGTAAAAGTTCCTGTTGCATTTTCTGCTGGTGACTTCTGGTTCCTACAGCTTCCTTTTTCCTTGTGGAAATAGCAGTGCAGTGGAAACAGTGTGGTTGGAGGTTGCTGTGGGTTCCTGGGGAAGAGCTCTTGGCTGGTAGGGAAGGGGCACCTTGTCCCCAGCAGCTGGCTCCCTAGGCCTTGCTGTGTTTCCCTACTCCAGCCTGTGGTAATGCTGGAGCTAAACGAGGCTGTGAAGCATGGCAAGGATGTCATACAGCAGTTGTACCTCCTGTGATGTCACTGGGCCAAGTCATTAATGGATTAGAGGAAAATAATCTTTATTCTTAATAAAAGCCTCTTTGCATTTTGATCTGATTTAATTGTGTTCACATTGAAAGACACTGGATGTTCCCTTGCTTTGGTCCACAGCAATAAGTCTGAGACAAGACAGTAAGTTACATTAAGACAGTTCCTGTTCAAAAATTCAGTTTATTCCCTGAGAACAATACAACGTGTCTGCCATGACAGGGGCAAAACAGAAAGGTTTCTAGCAGAAAAGGGTAACAGGAAGATTATCAACAAAGGGACAACTGAAAGAAGTGGACATAAAGTTTGGAAATAGTAATATGGAAGGTCTGGTATACCCTTCTGAATGAGATTTCAATCAAAGAAATTTGGAAACAACCCTAATTCTAACCCTCTGTTTTATGAACATAGATTTTACTGCTGTGTTCTATAGCATTCTGAATCATCAGATATGCTGCTATAGTTGTCAGCTTAACAGGTCTCTTCATCCACGCATCCTTCTACCTGTGCCTCTCCCACAACCAACTTGCCCTTTGAACTTCACTGCCAGCTTAACCTGGTGAAAACAGGCTTAAGTTCTTGGAGAATTCAGAGCAGAAATGTCTTTCTGGTGCTTTTATATGCTATTTGGCAGAGAAGCCCATTGAAGAATTGGAGCCCTAATAGTACTCAGAAAAGAGGCATAAAAATCTTTCCTGTCTTCCATGTAGTTTCATCAGCTTTCTGCAGCTTTTTGTTTCCATCACAGCTCACCTGCATAGAAAACATTCTCTGCAAAGACTGGAAGTGAAGACTTTTATTTACAAGTATAATGTCACAGTGCTGCTCAGAAAAGGAAAGTAAATACACTAAAGATCCTCTGGTCCTCCCCCCACCCCCAAACAACCCTGTGTAACTGATGTTGAGCAGTGCTTCAAACCAGAGAGCTGCTCCAAGGAGCAGGCAGCAACAGGGTATATTACCTGGCTGGCTTGTACTGTACAAAGAAAGCTCACAGGGTTTGATAGCACCTGAGGGGTCCAGGGGCCTCTTGAACTGTTAGAGTCTCTTCTGGGAGGGGCCAGGAAAGAAGAGCCTTGTGCTATCAACCAGTCTCATCTGCAGGAACTGTCATACCCAGGGCCACTGAGAGGCCTTTTGCCATGCTTAAGTCTTTGCACTCTCCCTTGGTAACAACTTCTGTTAGCACCTGTTTGTCAGTTCTTTCACTGCCTGTCTGTCTCACACACTGCCAGGTGATAACCCAAATTTCCCATTCATACTCATCTCTGATCCAGGCTTGCTTCCCTGTGAATTGCTGTGACAAATTTCTACTGATAGTGTCAGTACTGGGGCACATCTCCATCACTGATTTACTACGGAATGAATTCACCCTCTAGAGTTCAAGTAGGATCAGAAGATGCCTTTTGGACATCAGGTTTGCCTCTTGAGGTGAGCAACTGAATCCATCTCAAGGTGGAGAACACTCCAGTTCTACTTGCACATGTTCTGAGTACCCCTGAAACCTCCCTCGGTGACCTGTGCTGCATCTTATCCACAGAAGCAAAAGAAAGAGAACAGAAAACACCAGGAAGACTCTGCAGGAACTGCCTGCAGAGCCAGTACTGCCCAGAGGTAAACTCTGGAGAAACAGGCACTGCCAGTCTTTGAGGTCCCATGGCAGAATCCACACCAACAAAGCTGACATCCAGAGGAAGGTTCTGAAGGGTGAGGAGGTGGGAAATGAGGCCCAGTCTTTCCAAGATGCTTGTCAACATGTACAGAAAGTTACTTACTGGAATATTCAAAAGCCGTTAGCTGTATAGGTTCCATAAGTGTGCTCTGATCCCTGGGCAGTACAGCAGGTACCAAACACTATGGCAGTTAGAATGACCACTGTGAATATGTGAAAGCAGGGTCAAAATTCCAAAAGCCCCTGTGAAGAAACACCAAGGCGAAATTACATATTGTTTTTTTTTTTATTTCTGCCAGAACAGCTCTGTAAATTCAGCAGTAAGTTTTCAAAGGAGGATCCAGAAATAAAATACACACCTCTGCATGAGGTGTGATGGGAAGATTACCAAATACTTATATATAATTCTAGTTACTATATCCAAAGGATGATACAGAGCAATCATTTGTATTTATGCTGCTGTTAAGGTTGCTGTCCTGCATGGGCAGAACTGAGCAGCCAAACCAGTCCATTTGTCCCAGTCATGTTGAAGGGGTAGGTTTCTACAAACACACATTTATATTTAGTTATGCCTGCTGTAGCCTCATCAAACGTTAGCACTCACCATTTCATTTACTTCCACTGACAAAGACTTTGAGCTGTTTAATGCACCTGATGCTGATCATTCCTGCCTGGAGTCATGGTGAAATGCATTATTAACTCCTGGGGCATTTAGCTAGAGACATTCAATGGGCAGAACATCTTTCTTTTTGAGATTAGAAATGATGTGAAATACTTATGAGTTATTAACTTTTTAGCTTTAAATCCGCTTGCTTTGACTTTCTAGAGATTTGCTTCAGGGTTGGAGAAGAATGTTTCCAGGTGAGACTGATTTGGTTCAGCTAGTTGAGACAGATGCAGCTCATTTGGGAATGGGAGGGAGAATGGTGAAGGGAGGATAAAAGGCTTTGGAAGGCACTGTAGAGTCCTTTCTGTTGGGGAAATTTTTCTAGTCTTCTGTCTTATTAACTGCCTCTGGTTTTCTCCATCTTATTATGCCATCACCTATTCCTCTTAATTGTTTTCTTTCTTTTGAGTATTCCCCCTCTGCAGATTTGCGTCCCTGCAGCAGCCCTTTAGTTATCCCTGGCAAAGACAGCAAAAGCTTTTTGGGGGGAACTCCTTCAGTCAGGACTCGCCGCTTGCCTCCACGCCTGGCCTGGTGCTCTATTGACTGGGAGCAACTCTGCCTCCTGCAGCCCATAGGCTCTGGGGGCTTTGGTTCTGTCTACAAAGCTACCTACCATGGTACAACCGTGGCTGTAAAGCAGGTGAAGAAAAGCAGCAAAAACCGGCTGGCATCGCGACAGAGCTTCTGGGCTGAGCTGAACGTAGCCTGGCTACAGCATGATAATGTGGTACGTGTGGTGGCTGCCAGCACGTGTGCCCCAGCCAGCGAGAACAGCCTGGGCACCATCATTATGGAGTATGTGGGCAGCATCACCCTGCACCATGTGATTTATGGCACTGGTGAGGCGTGGAGACAGGGTGAGGATGATGAAGGAGGATGTGGAAGGAAGGCCCTGAGCATGGAAGAGACTGTGTGCTATTCTTGTGACATCATGACTGGCTTAGCCTTTCTCCACTCACAGGACATTGTGCACTTGGACCTGAAGCCTGCAAACATCTTTATCACTGAGCAGGGAGTGTGCAAGATTGGAGACTTTGGGTGCTCCCAGAAACTGGAGGAGGGCTTGTCCCACAGTCCCCATGTTTGCCAGCAAGGGGGCACATACACACACCGTGCCCCTGAGCTCCTCAAGGGGGAGAGGGTCACTGCCAAAGCAGACATCTACTCGTTTGCCATCACGCTCTGGCAAATTGTCATGCGGGAGCAGCCCTACCTGGGAGAGCGGCAGTACGTGCTCTACGCTGTGGTAGCCTACAACTTACGCCCTTCACTGGCTGCTGCTATTTTCCACGAGTCACCACTGGGCCAGAAACTCCAAAGTATTATTAGCTGCTGCTGGAAGGCCAGTGTAGAGGAGCGCCTGAGTGCAGCCCAGCTGCTTCCCAGCCTCAGGGCCCTCAAACAGAATCTCTAGGAAAACTCGGGACACTTTAAATTTATTTTGTCAACTTTTCTTTTCCTTAACCCTTTCTCTGAACATAATTAATTTAGCCCCTGTGTGTTTCTAAAGGTTTTGTTGCTGGTTTTTTTTGTACTAAAAAAAAACAAACCCAAACTGTTTTGATATAAGAAGACTATAAATAAAGAGATTTAATAAAACTGTGGGCTTTTACCTTGGGAGGGAATAGACACAAGATCAAGATGCTGGCAGATACAACTTCTTCAGTCTGATCTGTTGTGTGCTGTCTTGCTCAGGGAGAAACTGGGGAATGTGATGTGCAAAAAAATAGTTGGTTTTAAGTAAGTGAAGTAGAAAAAAAGGGGCTAAGGAGCTGCTTTTGGAAGGTTCTTTATATGTAATACCTTTCAGTATTTTCAAAATGTCAGATATGAGTAGTTCTTCACTAGCTTGGGTTGTGCATTTGAGCTTTTCCTCTCTATTTACCAAAGAATGAGTATGTATCGCAAATCAGTGAATGCAGAAAAATAAATACAGAGTGTCAGTGGGGTTTTTTTTCCCTTGTTCTTGGATGTACTTAATTCCAGTAAGTATGCTGCTTTTGATATGGAAAATGTGAACTGCTGATATACATCTTGAAATAAGGAAACTTTTTGCCAGTCTAAGGCTATCAAGAGTAAGAAGATACATTAACAACCTGTACTTTTATAAGACCTCCCTGCTACGAGGGAGGTGTTAGTTGCAACTTGCTAGCTGGGACACTGCAGACTTTAATATCTGAAGCATTGTAAGAGCATCTTGTGTAGAGCAGAAAGTTACCAAGTTTTTGAGGTACAGGGTGAGTTAGAAAAATAAAAAAATCGGGGAAAAATTATTGGTAAAGGGAGGATTATTTGTGCTTCATAATGCATGGGTCAGTATTAGACAAGATACTGGAAGTACTGTAAAGGAAGCTTGCTTAAAGCAGTAATAATGATACTCTGCTGGTACTCAGAGTGTTCGCTGTTGAACTATCCTCTGCACTGCTTATGTCTTATCTACTATCTTTCCTAATCTGGCTGTAATGTGTCTGGGAAAGGAAGTGCTGTAGGCAATGCAGATGACAAAGAGCTCTGATCCATGATTTATCAGAACTGATAATTGTACATCTGAGCCCTTATCAGAGGCCAACTGCTGTAGCTGATATTGCCATTCTGCTCAAAGACTCTGCTTCTTTTTAAGACAGGAGAAAGAGTGATGTTTCAGTCAAATTGTTTCTCTTCTTTACCCTTCCTCCCCCTTGCTTCCATTCTGGAAAAAAAAATCCCCAAGGAATTGAGCCAGTTTCCTGATTTCTGACACACATCTGTTCTTAGCCCCGTGAAATCCTGGAAATGAGCAACTATGTGAATTTGAGATGATTCTGTAGGTCTTTATGGTATTTGGGTTGGTAATTGAAATTAATGGTTTATAAAGCATATCTAAGCTTAACTATTTCTTGGTCTTCCATCCCCCTTAAGCGGAACTATAAAATGCTGGCTGGAATCAAAAAACCTAAGGTGAATCCTGGAAAATATCTCCCATGTTTTCTCTGTCAAAATAATTATGCTATAGAACCAGAACTTTTTTTTTGTGTGTAGCATAACTTATTTTAATAAAGAAGATATCTTAAAGAAGTTATTATGATAAGTCAGTTACCTTTTGAAATGATTAGCTGAGGGCATCTAAGATAAAATGTTAGATAAAGCCAATTGACATGCCTCATTTTAACATCAAGCCTGAAACAGAAGTGGTTCTCCAGTTTTCAAAAGTATATAATAAAAAATGGAATTGAAGTTTGTTAGTAGTTCCTAGATGCTTATGTGTTGTATTTATTTTGCCAATCTAGGTAGCTGGTTGCTTATACTGCTAGAAAACTGTTATTTTTTCCTTAATGATCCTTCAGCATCAGCAAGTGCTACTTGAGTCTCTGTGAAAAATCAAGCACCCTTCAAATTCTCTGTTGTACTTGACAGAATGATACTGGATGGCCAAGACCCACTCTTGAAGTATAATCAGCTCTGCAGATGTCTCTGTCAATTTTTCAGGGTTCTCTTTTGATAGCGAGTGAGAGAGAACTCTGCACAGCATTCAAGATGTAGACACATCATACTCTGTTATAATAATGATGGTCTCTAGTTTTAGTAACTTCAAGGTTTGATTTGTTTTGAGGGTTTTTTGATTGCTATTGAGCTCTGAGTTAATACTAATCAAGAAACATCTCAACCCTAATAGCTCAGAATCCCTGGTTCTATGTGATGAGCTTGCCTCTCTTTATGTGCATATACCTTGAGTTTCTTTCTGCCAGTTTGTAGCTGGCCCTTGTAATTAACGTCCAAAATAACTCCACCATCAACAAATTTGTTTATCTTATGGGTCACTCTCTTGCACTTCATTTATGGATGTGCTGGGCAGTACAGGATCCCCTGAAACACCAGTGGACACTTTCTCTAGCTGAGAGAACTGACACTTTACTTTTTATGCCCGTGCCTCTCTTTTGACTTATCCAGTGCAGGATTTTCTCTCCTAAATGTGGCTGCTTAATACCTTTCAAAAGTTTGCAGTGAAGGATTTTTCAAATACCTTTGGAAAACCCTAAGGGAACATATCAATCAGTGCTTTATCTGCATGCTGTCAGTGCTCCTAAAGAATTCTAATACAATCCTACACAATTGTGAAGTGCAACTCCTTCCAGCCAAAGCAATACTCCTTCTAAACACATCAGGTCTATGAGTCTGTTATTTCCTTTAATATAGGATCTGCTAATGTATCTTATACAGATGTCAATCATGTAATCAGAAAACTTATTTTTTAAAGACTTCCTTGGGATATGATCCTGAAGAGGAGGGGCAAAGGACAGCTGGTTGGTTTTCAAAGATTGCCTTTTACAAGCTCAAGATTCAGTCCCCATAAACAGGAAATCAGGCAAAGGTGGCAGGATGCCCCCAGGGATAAAAAAGAAGCTCCTGATTAAACTCAAATGTAAATAATAAATATGCAAGAGCTGAGAGATCAGTGGGTAGTCTGAAGCAAGGAAGACTTATTGTTGGTAAAGAAGGATGAGGTTAGGGAACATTTAATCAAGACTTACAGAAGTTCAGAGGACCTGATGGGATGCACGCACAAATGCTGACAGAGCTTGCCAATGTCACTGTGGGGCAACTCTTGACTACCTTTGAAAGGTCATGTGGTCAGGAGAGATTCCTGAGGTCTGGAAGAAAACAAATCTAACTCATGACTGCAAGATGGCCAAAAAGGAGGATGTAGAAAATTACAAGCCAGTCAGCCTCACCTAAATCCCTGGGAAACTGGTGGAACGCACCATTCTGGAAATCACTGCCAAATAAATGAAGGACAAAAAGGTGTTTGGGGGGGATCACAGGGGATTTGTAAAGAGGAAATCATGTTTGATCAACCTAGGAGCCTTCTGCAATGAGATTACTGGCTACTGGAGAGCAGTAGTTGTTGCTTATCTTGATTTTAGTGATGTTTTTGATGCTGTTTCCCATTACATTCTCATAAAGAAACTGATGAAGCACTGACTAGATAGTGGAAACTGAAAATTAGCTGAGCCGCTGGGCTCAGTGTGTTGTGATCAATGGCATGAAGTCCAGTGGGAGACCAGTCACTAGTGGTGTATCCCAGAGATCAATACTGGACACAGTGCAGGTTAACACCTCCATTAAAGCCTTGGATGATGGGATGGTGCACCCTCTGCAAGTTTGCAGTTGATACAGAATTGGATGGAGCAGTCAATACCTTGGATGGTTGTGCTGGTGTTCAGAGAGATCTTACCAAGCTGGAGAAATCAGCTGATGGGAACCGATGCAGGGGGCTGGGGGCCAACCGCTTGGAAAGAAGCTTTGCAGAGACCTGGAGCTGCTGGCAGACACCAGGTTGAACATGAGCAAGCAATGCGCCCTTGTGGCAAAGGCGGCCAACAGCATCTGTGGTGCACTCCAGAGGGTGTTGCCAGCTCTTCTGGAGCGCTGCTACAAGAGGTTATTCCCCGCTGTTCACTCAGCCCTGGTGAGACACATGTGGAGCTCTCTGGTCAGCTCAGGACTCTGCCAGAACAAGAAAGTCATGGCTGTACTGGACCAGGAGTGCAGCAAAGGGCCATTAAGTTGATTACAGGAATTTTATCTTCTGTCTTAATCTTCATGCTCTTTCTTAAGGTTTAGTGTCTTTGGTTCCCAAATAGAAATATCAACAGACATTTCAAAATAGGTTTTGAAAAAAGAAGCATAAGCTACAATTCTGATGCTACTCTCTTTATTTGGAGGTGGGGTGGAGTACTGCAGGTAAACATATTTGATAATTAAGTGGGGAACCTTTATCTGTTTCTCTTTTACAGAGCTTCTGGCTTCCCATCAACCAGAAGCTTCTGTAACCCTGGTCCGTGCTTGTTCTGCTGTTTGTTCCTCTTTCCTTGAAGGCTACATTTTTTTATTTTTTTTTTTTCAGTATTAAGCTTTATCTCAACCCAGAAAGAAAGCAGTAACAACATCACTATCTTCAAATAATAAAAATAATAAGATATAATAAGATATACCGCAGCAAAGAAAACAAAGACTGTTTTACACAATATAACACTAATATTTGTAAATTCAGTGGGAGTCACGTGGATGCTTATTATTTGACTTGTATATCAACTTTTGCAGCATTAGCATTTGTGTTCATGAATCCATCCACTAGAACAAAGATGAAAACAGGGACAGAAAATGAATGGTTATTTTTTAAAATTAACTGTATGTGGAAAATTTTACATATTGTTTATTTTAGCCATTTATCTGCTGCAAATACCTTCATAAAGCAGTCAAAGAGCCTCTTTCTATGCTTCAGTTAACCCAGCTGCCAAATATTTGTCTGCCTGTCAAATGAAAAGCCTTAAAACCAGTTAAAGAAAGAAAATGGAACAAAAAAGTCTACTGGCACCTATCCCAGTCTGCCATCAGCTAAGGATGCCACAGGACAGTTTGGCAGTAGAGGAACCACCATCCGCCCCTGGACTTCTCCAAGCGTGAGGCTGAGTTTTGCTCTCAACCCAGCCTGAGGTTCAATAGCTCAAGTGTTCAGCAGAGCAGGGAGGTGATTGCATTTGCCTTTGCAGGGCACCTGGGATAATAGGGTAATTCATAACTTAATAAATATTCTACTGCACATGTGCCAGGCTACAAAGAGCAAAGTAGGCTGCAAATTGGAAACGTAAATGTCTAGCTCTTTTCAAGTTACTCCCCCCACAAGGGTGGAGGGGAAATCAGTTTTATTTTCAAGCCATGTATTTTTCTCAACCACTTACTGTGAAAATGGGGAAAGGATTTTGATTCAGATATGGCACAAATGAAGCTGGTCCCAGAGACAAGTAAAGAAAGTTGCACCTGAACAGAGACTGTAAAAAAAGATAAATGTAAATAAGGGAACTGATAGGCGAGGGAAGCTGGTTTTTTTTTTTAATAGCAGTTAATACTATATATGATATAATACAGGAAGTTTAGGGAGATATCATATACTTTTTCCACATCCTCGTTTTTCTCTTATCTAACAGTTCTAATAAAATGTTTTACAGATAACACAAAAGCCACATGCAAAACTTTTGAAGGAATGTATTGTTGCACTGACATGCCAGTAGATGAATGTCACCGAGATTTCTCTTTGTTAAGAAAGTGACAGAACTCCAGACTTCCCTTAAAGTTATCAATCCTTGTATAGCTTTTGAGACTGAAATGATTGCTAGTAGATGTTTTCTGATTTAAAGGGGAAGAAAGGATATTCTTAAAGTTTAATTAATCTTTTTTGCCAAAAGCTGACTTTCAGAGGAAATAAATGTTAGATTTTTTAAAAAATGTTTTCATGCTTGCATAGTTTGTTTAAAAAGTTGTATACTGAATTGCAAACAGCATTTGAAAAAGTGTCCTGATCATAAAAATTAGCACTACCTGACCAATCACAGAAAAAGGGCCATTTGCACAGGGCAACAAGGGAGGTGGCTGGAGAAAGAAAGGAGTCAAGCCAGAAACAGGGAGAGGGGAGACACCCCAAATCCCAAACCTATTTGCTACAAGCCTGTGAATCAGTGAAGCTCTCACTGAAAAATAACTTTTATTCTGGCACATGACTTTCTGTGTTGTATGCTAGAGATACCTGCCCACTGGGCTGTCAGAACCCTGTATGACTTAAACTAAGGTCTCGAACTAGTGCTTAAAATTAGCCGAGGCCACTGATTCAGTTCAGAGTGGTCACCCATTACTGCCAGGTCATAGTAGTACCATTTAGTTAAAAGAAGCATAACCTTCTACTCTTAGCCCCAGCCCTCCCAAAACCCAAGTGCTCTTGAAACACTGTCTAAATTAAATGTTCTGCAAACCATTACCTGTCCCCAAACTGCCTGAGAGTGCTACACTTTAATAGCACCAATGACTTACCAAAGTAGATTTCTTCGGTGGAAATTTCCTTTATATACAGAAAATTTTAAGAGTAAAAGGCTACACTTCCTTTATCAAAGGTGTATTGTTGGTTTTGTTTTGTTTTGTTTGTTTGTGTTTAGGAAAGATGAGAATCAATCCCTAGGTATCAGCATAAGCATTTGTGCCTGCCAGAACAAAGTTATTGGCTCTACCTTACACCAGGAACAAGAGTATATGAGAATCAGTTGTTCCTCTGAATACACAAGGGACTCTCAAAAAGGAAATATACCTGCTCTGATGTGGTAAGGGTTTACTGATAGGATGAAGTACCTCCTGGGTGCTCTCAGAAACATCTTCCAACAGTCATTCACATAATGAAAGAATATTTTTTAACATGTGTGGTTTGTATTTAAAAGAAAAACATGAGACCATAATACTGAAAAAAATTACAAGTATTGATATTTCTGGAATTTTTTCAAAAGGCATGGCTACCATACTCAAACCCACGTTCTGTGTATACCTCGATACTTATTTTTATTTGCCTAAAAACTGAATGCTTGAACATAACCCTCTTAAATGGTAATACTATTTTTTCCTTGGTTTTAAGCCTGTGGACAATACTGCTTCCCCTGATCTGCATCTGGAAAACCTGTTGCTAGGGTTTTCACTGTGCACAGAGGTAGGAGTGTTGGAAGTGCAATTGTGTGCATTTACATATAATTGCTGTTACATCATTTAAGTGATTGTGTCAAGGGAAAAAGACTTCTGTTTTATATAATTTCCAAAACCTATTCCACATTTACAATGATGTTTTATAGTCTGGTGTGAAAGGACATGTACAAGCCTGGTTTTCATTACCAGTAGGAACTTCTGACATATATTTAGGTGAAAGACAAGTTTAATAGACTTGCTGTACTCTCCTAGTAAGTTGTCCTCTTAAATAAAACTTCTGGGTCTTCCATGAGATGACATTACAGACTCTACTGTTGTTGCTCCTGCCCCCCTACCACAACCTCAGAACTCCTATGCAGTAAGCCACAGCTGCCACTTTGCCATGTTAGCCTTTTAGAGAAGTTAGCAAA